ACTATCTGGCATGGAGTCAGACTGTCCGGTACCAGCTTGACCTGCCGCACCAGTGAATGTTGCGACTGATCCTGACCTGCAAGTGAATAATGCAGTGTAGAAAAGATTGTGATTGTGAAGACTTAAACCACTGAATTGACCCTCCAATGAATTTGTACTAATCACAACAACGTGCATTTCAGGTTTGCCTGTGACATCTGTGTCATTAGGCTGTTTTGGGACCAGATGCTGTGCAACAGTCTAGCTCGATTGGTGAGGCAGTTAAAAGAAAACCAAGGGGAGGAATATCAGAAATGATGGCACACTTTCTTGGGGAATGTGCTGACTTTGTGGATTGACCCAGCATCAGGGCCACTGCTGGCCAAATGGGTGCCCTAAGCAGAATTGTATTGTTGTGCCCCCTCCCCAAAATATTATGGAAGGGGTCAAAACAGAACTTTAATAAAATACAAAAGTAAATAACTAAATTGTAATTAAATTGTATTATTTACAAATTACAATTGTAGCTAGACAGTCGCGCCTATGGCTATGATTTTATTAATACAGTTGTCTGATTGATTTTATAGTCTCAAGCATTCAGAAATCACACAAAAGAAAATTAAGCACAATAAGCAGTTTTACTTCGCAACCTTTACAAAAACTAATCCTTGGTTTTATCGATGTCCACATGTTTTTGTTGAAGAAATTATAGAGGCTAGCATTTCTATATATAACAAAAAGGTGGCCAAAAATTAAAGATTAAGTCATTGTTTTTATATCATGTATTTTATGTCATTTTAAAGGTTGTTGTTCGCTTAGGTCTGTTTTTATTACCACTAAATATTATCTTAAGCAATTTGAAGTATCAAAACCATGGTTAATTTGTGGTTACCATTGCTACAAGAACCATGTTTTTTTTTTTTTCCATAGTATTAATTATGGTTAATTTTCGTAAGGGAACATGGAAACTGAGAGAATATTAAGGCAGATGCGGCGGTGATATTATAACCGACATTAAAACATGTTATTAACGTCAACATCCAAAAAAAGTTTCACAGGATTATGAATGTATCTAAAAGTGATGCACGGGCTTCATCTTGGGCTTTTTTTCTTTTTCTTATCTCGGCGCCGGACTACTGATGTCTTTTCCCAGGCATAGTTGCCCATCAGTTATGATCATTTGCAGTCAGCCGCAAACATGAGATGAGAGCGAGCGCGGTTGGGGGAATGGCGCGTCACGTGTGCAACTGCATTCACCGTAAACCGCATTTTTTTATAATTATGTATATATGTTCACGTTTATATTTTTATTTATGTATATGTTAATACTAATTATACTAATACTAATTTTTTTTTTTTTTTTTTGAGCAACTGGGATGGTGCCCCCCTGGGAGTTGGTGCCCTACACAAACTGCGTACTCTGCATATTGGGAGCGGCGGTACTGCCCAGCATTGCTCCGGTGGTCTGCTAGGAGCCTCCAGGGCACATGGACAGCAGCCAACGATTGCTGGGGATGTCAGTGTATGGCAGGGGCATCCTCTGCCAAATAGACCATATCAAGGCCAGCATTACGTCAACCTTTGGTGCTATCTTTAAGATGAATTCCACCGAACAGGTAATCTGTCTCTGTAATAGACTTACATATTTTTAAATACTGTCAGATAGACCGGTGTTTCTCAAACCTGTCCTGGGGACCCCCAACCACTGCATATTTTGTATGTTTCCCTCATTTAACACACCTGATTTAATGCATCAGCTCATAGTATGCAAGGCTTGAACTGGGTGTGGCCTATGACGGAGACATACAAAATGTGCAGTGGTTGGGGGTCCCCAGGACAGGTGTGAGAAGCACTGAGATAGACATTAATGTTGTTGTCAGTGATAACATTACATCATGAATGTCATTACATTTGTAAATTCCAGATGACAAAGAAGCTGGCTGGTCATGGACGGGGGACAGCACTCTGGGTGACCTCCATTAGTGATGAGGTTGGCCAGATACTGACCAGTGTCCTGTCGGTACAGGAGGGTGTGCATTCTCATGGAAATGCCAATTGCCACACTACCATCACAGAAAGACATGAGGGTAAATAAATACCTGTGGACACTGGTAGAAATTCCCCTTCGCACCTGACTTAAGTTTAACTGGGACGTCTCTGGTGACACCCAAAAGTGTCTCTGGCAACACTTAAAAAATTATAGACTTTTAGCACATCTCAAGCGACACCCTGTTGAGTCGGGTGACAACTCGCCCATTTTGACCACTATCACTCGGGACTAAGATTATCTAGTGTTCCCCTACACCTGTTGCACAGCAGTAACCAGACAGACTCCAGACAATGCCTTTAAATATGCTTTAATCACGGCCAAGAGGACCTCATACCAATCACAGAGAATCCTCCTAACAATTAGGATACATTAGTTTATATAGGAAAATGTACATAGCAAAGGTAACATTACATCACATTAAATCATTCCCCTCTAATATATTGGTTCATTTTCTATGTCAAATCAGCAACCCCCTTCAATTTCTAATTGCTTCATCTTGCTCCCCAAATCATAAATTTATATGATTATTAATAATTCCAGACAGATGTCTAGCCGTTTCGTTTTTGTCTATATGTTTTTTTATTGCAACACTACTAAAGGTTAGAACATTTTTGTTCCCCAAAATGCACTTTAAAGGTTAGGCCTGTAAAGAAAGGAAAATGTTAGTCATCACCATTTATGATCAATTGGTTTTATGATTAATTTAAAAATGATTAAATTTAAAATTTCCTTCACAACACCCTCTAGAGAAGACAGACAGCATAGTGACTCAGATGACACACAGCTGTAAACCCACTGCTCTCATCCCTACCAATTCTATATCTACATGTGTTGATCATATCAATGCTCAGATGTCCTATTACTTCCATAACACTGACCAAAAGCTGCTGGTCAGTAGCTTCTCTGTTTTAGGCATTAGGCCCTTCCAATGCTATCAGATATCTTGGTATACTTTTCAGTCGTTCTCTCTACTTTTATTCCTTACTTACAATTTCAGCCTTCTTATACCTTCATAATATTGCTTGCCTTCATCCTACTAATCAAAAGGTGCAGAAATTCTTGTACGCACTTTTATCACCTCCCCGACTAGACATCTGAAACTCTCTTATCTTTGGCCTGCCTATCAAGACGATTAATAAACTTGGATACATTCTGAACTCTGCTGCTCGAGTCCTCACCTATTCCAGGAAAATCTCTCACATCAGTCCCATTTTACATACACTACACTGGCTGCCTGTCATCTTATCATATTCAATATAAAATACTGCTCATCACATTCAAAGGCTGTCTTGCTCCTGTGTAAATCTCAGATCTCAATCATCCCTACATCCCAGCTTGCACACTCAGTTCCTCTGACTCTGAATGACTATTGAGCTCAGCGTTCAGATTAACAGGGCTTTCTGCACATCTTCTCACACTTTGAAACTCCATCCCTCACATCCATTCATGATTATAAAACTAACCTCAAAACATATTTTCTGGAGCTTGAGATTGAGGATGTGTTATAGAGCAAACTGTGTTACCTGGACAGCATTATTATATAATTAATTAATTGTGTTTTGAAGAGGACCAAAAGTCTTATGGGTTTGGATCGTCATAAGAGTAAATAATTCACCCAAAAATGTACATGTTGTTATTATCACTTTAAAGGGGTCATGAACTGAGAAACCAAAATTCCCTTGATATTTTGACATTGTACTATAAAAACATCCTGTTTCATCAAGTTTCAGAACTCAAAACTTGTTAAAAAACAGCTTATATTGAATCCAGTCTGCCAAAACGAAATGTGCCACTTTATGACGTAATAGTGTGACTAAACACCACCTCCGCAGAAGAAGATCAACACCTGCTTCTACATCACTGCCTGTTTAGCCCCGCCCACCGATTTACACATGTAGTGTAAATAACAAGAGAAACCCAAGGTGCGACCTCTTACTGTAGCAGGACGAACAAAGGAGAGAGGGAGGGGTTTGGGAGGAGGACGAGGCCGGTGGCGAAGGGCAGGTAGGAAGCTGGTGGACTGACGGGCCACGGTGGAAATGAAGGAGCTAGGAGCCATGCTGGAGCATATGGGTCGTCGGGCTGAGGAAGGAGTCTGGGCCTCGGAGGTCGGAGGCAGAGACCGGGGATCCTCCGAACACGGTGGAGCTGGAGACTGACAAACTCAAAAGTAAATCCACTCCACAGATGAAGAGCTGAGGATGAGCTGAGAGACTGGCAGGATGCAGCGGGATAGAAGATGGCAGACTCATGAGAGGAGGTAGGAGAGGGTGGCTGGGTGGGAATTCGTGAATTTCTAGTTGTGTCCTCTTTTGGAAGGCCAAACAAAGTAGTTTCGCTTTCACACCGAAACACACAGCGTCTCCACGACAAGGCGGCGGCAGCAACAAGAATAAAAGTAGCGCCTTCCTTTGTCGGCTTTTAAAGTAGCTGGAGCATTTTTAATTACTCGCATTCGCATCTCGCCTCCCTCCGCCATTAGGCGCGTTCGATTTGAAGCGGTGCTGCGCAGGATGAGTGTATGACATCAACCGCGAGAGCGATTTGAAAGCATAAGGATCCGTCTGCTCTCTTATCGCACTCGCGGTACTTGATGTCATACACTAATCATTCTGCGCAGCGGCGCTTCAAGCCGAATGCGCCTAATGTATGCTACCGCGACAAAGCACTTATGCAACAAATGACGTCAGAAAAGCGTCAGTGCGTTATAATCGGTTATGGTCTATTACTGAACCGATACCAAATCATCCTCGTCTGCATCGCGATGCATCGTAGAAACGATTAATTTCGACACCCCTATAAAATACGCCTAGAATAAATGGGAACAAGTCATTTTGTTTAGTTTATGTACATTTATTTATAATCTTCCAGTTACATTGTTGCTTTTCCCAGCATGGTAAAAGTTTGACTAATACTTTGATTCAGAGGAAATTGAGTGACGCCTCTACATATTCAAAATTTGAGGGAATCTACTGTAACCGCTCAATATTTGAAACTACAGCAAAGAAGATGATCAAAAGAAAATAAAAAGCATTATGGTGAAGCTTGAAGGATGCATGAAGGTGAAAATCAGATGTAGCCCACATTTAGCGTGTGAACATAGCCTTGATTTCACACAGCATTTTTTTCTTGTCATACTCTTTAACAAACACAAACAGAGTCTCACATTTGCATGACTTTTCATATGAATCTGTAAGTGTGATGGCAAATAATGTTTTTAGTACACTGACTACAATTGAATTGTCTTCCAGAATGAATGCACAGATGATTGCAGAAATTGCTTTTTCTAAAACTCTCGTCACTCTGAGGAAAATGGCAAGTTTTTCCCAGAATGAGTTTTCAAATGACGTTTCATGCTGCTTTGACTTTTGAAACTCTTCTCACACTGCAGACACTTGTAAGGCTTTTCTACAGTGTGAACTACCTTGTGAATCTGAAGGTTTACTTTTACCGTGAAACTCTTTCCACACTGTTCGCAGGTGAAAGGTTTCTCTCCAGTGTGAATTCTCAAGTGAACCTTGAGGTTTCCTTCTTTTGAGCAGCTCTTTCCACAGTGATGGCACATGAAAGGCTTTTCTCCGATGTGAATTTTAACAGGATTCTTAAGGTGATTCGTGTCTGTAAAACTCCTTTCGCACTGATGACATTTAAAACTCTTCTCTCTTGAGTGAATCTTCATGTGCTTATTAAGGTTTTCTTTATATCTGAAACTCTTTCCACACTGACCACACGTGAATGGATTCTCTCCAGTGTGAATCCGCATGTGAGTCCTAAGGTTTTCTTTGAGCCTGAAACCCTTTCCACACTGAGGGCAGGTAAAAGGCTTTTCTCCAGTGTGAATTCTCATGTGGGCAATAAGGGTTTTTTTCTGTGTAAAACTCTTTCCACACTGAGAGCATATTAATGGATTATTTTCAATGTGAATTATCATGTGAGTCTTAAGACCTCCATTTTGTGAGAAACTCTTTCCACACAGTTTGCAGGTGTAAGGTTTCTCTCCGGTGTGAATTCTCATGTGGGCATTAAGGTGACTTTTTAGTATAAAACTGTTTCCACACAGTTTGCAGGTATAAGGTCTCTCTCCAGTGTGAATTCTCATGTGAGTCTTAAGGTTTTTTTTCCGTGTAAAACATTTTCCACATTCAAGGCATATTAACGGTTTCTTTTCAATGTGAATTTTCATGTGGACTTTAAGGCGTCCTTTTTGTTTGAATTTTTTTCCACACTGTTGGCAGATGTAAGGTCTCTCTCCAGTGTGAATTCTCATGTGGGAATTAAGGTTTGTAGTTTGTGTTTTTTGAGTTTTTTCTTGTGAGGAAGTCTTTTCAGTCTGTGAGCAACTAATTTATTTTTCTTCAGTTTTGAAATCATGAAGTTTCTCATTTTGATTTTTCTCTTCCGTTTCATTCAGTTCTTGACTCTCCTCTATCAGTGCCATCAGGTCTGAGGTGAAATAAGAAAAATACAAGTTAACACCAGTTTAATGGCACAAAGTATGCTAGATCCTATACCTTCTAATCCACTGAAAGCGGTGTAACCTCTAATCTCAGAACCTCTTGTCAATATTGTTAACTATTTGCTTTCTTTAGGACCTCCTTGATGGAGGGATGTACAGTTACATTGGTTGCATTCATTTTGTTTTGTTGTTGCATTCACAAAACTATTTTGTTGATAATCGTAGCCTTCTTTCACCTTCTAAATGTTGCAGGGTCAACAAATAAGCTCTAGCTGGTTAAAAATTCAGCAGCTAGAGCACTTACTAGTCACACTGACCACTAGCTGCGTTTCCATTACCCTTCAAATTGCACAAATTGAAAAAAAAAAAACACCCAATGGAAACCCATCAATTTCACAAAAACTCCAATATATCGTTTGCATGAGGTGGTTTATTAGGCCATTCGAAAAAATTAATATTTCGCAAAACTGCAAAGGAAACAGGTTTTTATTTGCTACCTGTTGTAAGAAAACGTGAAGACGTCAAAGATCTTGATGAAGAATAACTTTTATTACAGAATAGTAGTGACAAAGTACATGTAGTACCTTGGGTTCAACGGAGTCAGACTGAACCCCGAACATCCTAAGCTCAATCATTTTATACAGTATTACGTTCATCTTCCCGCTCAACATGTAAATTAAGTTTCGTTTTAAATGTAAATTGCGGATGACAATGAAAGTGATAGCCTTCCGTTCCCACATCTTCGGTAGACTCAAGTGGGAACAACCAAATGTTAAGGTGATAAGATTAAACAGAATCCATAGCAGTTATTTCATGTACCCTTTTGGTCAGCAGATGGTTCTTGACGACCTGCTGCTTCTCCCACGCTATAAGTGACAAATTATCGCTCCGGAGGTACTATTTACATATGATTAAGATCGGAAAGAACTATCTATATGATAATTAAGCTCTTTGTAGAGAAAGGAGCATAGTTTAATACACAATTTGGAGTGGAAGCTGGGTCGAGGCAGACTATAATTTCTTACACTGTTGTAAGGTTGTATGGTTATATGCTGCAATCATTTAGATCAGTGGTTCCCCAAACTTGTTCCTGAAAAGTACACCTTTTGTTTCTCTCCCTGATCAAACACTCCTAATTCAGGTCATCAGATCATTACTAGAGGTTCTAAAGCCCAAAGTATACGTGTAGTTTATGTACGTGTACACTGGTGTATGTATACAGTCAAATGCATAGCCTTTCAAAGTGTGAATCATGTGGATGTGGAATCGGATGTACATCATTGCTCACGTTGAGTGAGTGAACAATACTGGCAGAACCAGTGCAATGAGTTTAAATGGAAAAAAACCTGGATCACTGATTTATTATTTGCAAAGTTTTCCTTACAAGTTTGGACAAAAAGTTTAAGCAGCATTCTATAGGTCAGTCCTAGAGAGCCGCTGTCCTGCAGAGTTAAGCTCCAACCCTAATCAAACATTTACATTTAGTCATTTAGCAGACGCTTTTATCCGAAGCGACTTAAGCCTCGTACAAACCGGGACGATTATAGTGCGCGCTTATCACCGACGTTTTGACGCGTCTTTTGTGTTCAAACCCAAGCGATTTTCGCTGGCGATGAGCCGAGTGAACGTGCAAATTCACTCCCTGACATTAGAAGGCCCTTAACGAAAAACAGAAATACCCCGGTACACATCAAATCTTATTTGATCTGCAATTCCTCTCCATAACAACTCCCTCTTATCGAGATTTTTGTAGTCGCTGTCGAGTTTGTCATAAAGTTCTTTATGTTCAGACACCAATGAGACCAGCAGCTCTACATTCATCTTGCCTCGATGCATCTTCTTGGTCTACTTACTGCCTCTTCGTCGTTAGGTATCAAGTGTGCTCGGCAAGACCGTTTTGTGCTTAAGTGCCACCAAGTCGTGTTTTACTGTAACTTCAGCAGCACAAGGCACGTGTACAAAAGCGCCAATCTCATTGGTCGGCCAGTTTTTAATGCGACGCGTCAAACCAAAAAAACAACCCCAAGGCGTTTTCTAAAAAATGACACTTTTACGCCTCGCGTTTTGCGCGTCGGTGTGCACACTCACATTGGCGCACTTTGTTTAGTCATGAGGCGTTAAACGTCGGCGATAATCGCACGCGATATTCGTCCCGGTGTGAACAGGCCTTTACAAATGAGGACAATAGAAGCAATCAAAACTAACAAAGGAGCAATAATATGTAAGTGCTGTGACAAGTCTCAGTTAGCCTAATGCAGTGCACATAGCAAGTTTTTTTTTATAATCAATAAAAAGAAAAGGAAGTAGATAGAATAGAAAAAGAATTGAGAATGTTAGTGTTAGAGGATAATTTTTGTAAATAAAAAGAAAATAAGTACAGAATAGAAAAAGAATGGCGAATACTAGTGTCATAGGCTCTATTTAAAAAAAAAGAATGCAAGTATTGTAAAGAGTGCAAGTGTTAAAGGGTCAAGTTTTTTGTTTATAAATAAAATAATAAATAGAAAGCGAGTAGATGGAATAGTAATACAGTATAGAGTGCTAGTAGGGATTTTTATTTTTAACCAGTTTACCGTTAACCGACCGTAAGAATTTTGACAATCAGTTAAACGGTTTAAAAAGTAATTTATTTATTATTTTTTTTATTAGTAATCTATCAAAATATTGAAAAAGGTTTGCTGCATGGTTAAAATACGCTACATATAAAAAAAAATGTTTTTAGAGAGAGAGAAAAAAAACGTAAGTCACATTTTATTATTTCATTCAGAAATAGGCCTTATGCCGACGCAAGAAGTTAGAAAGTAAAAGAGAGGTGATGGAGGTCAAGAACTATTAAACAGCCTTGAGGCCGTAGGGATGAAAGACCTTCTAAAGCTCTCGGTTCTGCAACGCAGTGAAATAAATCTGTTGCAGCTGCTCCTCTGGCTGATCAAGATATGATCGTATAATAGATCAGGAAACTAGACGAGTAAATGAGTGAAATAAACCCTCCATGTGAGTTGAAAATCTCTTGATTTGTGCTTATAGGTAAAAGTGCAATAATTCTGATATAAAAATACATCAATAATTACAATTACAATTTTGAGCAAAACAATTACCAGTTCATTCATTGACTAAAACTACACTAAAATTCACAGACTTATAGTCAACTAAAACCTGACAAAACAACATAGAAAAAACAGGATAGGTTGACTAAAAAACATCTGACACAAGACTAAGACTAAACTTAATAATAGCTGACAAAATTAACAGTTTGTAGATTAATATTGATGTAACTGACAGTGTAAAAGAAAACACAGGACATCTGACCTCCAACCTAAAATGAGTTTGACACCCTAAATTATAAGCTATAAACAGCATCATATATGAGCTGGTCTCGGTCTCTCTGAAAAAAAATGCACCTGTTACTAGGGATGGGCGATATCTTATCGTTTGCGATATATCGGTAAATATTCTCCCCACGATAAGAATTAGTCTTCCTGCGATAATAACGATAAAGTCTAGTTGTTGACATATTTCTGTGTGCGACAGTGCGGAGCGACATCACGGAAAGCGGACGTGAAATTGAGGAGGAGTAGCCTATATCGCTAAATGAGGAGCTCGAGCTGTAACTGGTTTGGTTATGGCTGTACAGTGCACAAAAAATCGCTCTGAATAAATGTACTACAGTAGCACGTGTGCGATACAGTGTGCATGTGTATGGTTACTAACGATTCTCTGAGAGTTTGTTCCTCACATTTCTGTTGTGAGTCTAATGTGAAGAAGATCCCACACGTGTGCTGCTACATGAGTTCAGAGGAAACTCTCATCCTAGATCAACTTCTGATGAAACATTTACTACTGAGGATATCAGAAGACGTGAAAATCACAACAGATGTTTGCTTTAGTGCACTACTGAGGTCTCTGATATCAACTGTATGTGTCGCTCAAAACATTAAAGGTGCTGTATGTAAGTTTTTGACTCTACTAAAGCATAAACATACCATAATATGTTTGCAGATATTTAAGAAACATGCTAAGTTAACATACTTGTTTATCTGAAAAACAATGCTACAGTCAGTTATTCTCCTTTGAAAATGTGGGTTCCGGGACGGAATGTCGGTCTCTGTTTTGGTTTGTGAAACCCGCCCACTGCCAGTTTACCCAATTGTATTTGAAAAAAAAACCATCTCCAATATTTTGAATTTGGACTGCAATACCTAGTTCAACCACTCGGTGTCAATCCTACATACAGCAACTTTAAGTTTGATTTTATTATGCTGCAGTTCATTATGAAGTTACTGGTCACTGACTGTATTATTTGCTCACCAAAGATCCTTAAATGAATAAAGATAATCAGCATGCAGTGACTACCAAGCTTTGTCAGCTGGAGAAATGTTTTATTATTTTATAAGCAGGCTGGTATTTCTGACACATTTTTATTTATTATTATTGTTTGTTGTAATGAACATTTACTAATATTTACATTCAGGTCTGATAATACTTTAGCGTGGCACTTTTGAGGATGAGTAGAAAAAAAATAGCCTAACTTACAGATCGCAAATGTCAAGATAAAAACTCAAAAGTTTCTGTTAGATACTGTTTTCATCTTTTTCTACTCGGAAGATATTGGGTTCAGTTTTACACAAAATTAATGGTTTTGTTTAGGCTACTTCTGTATTATTTTATATCTTTATTCCTGTAGAGCTGGAGATTTTAAAGGGGTCATATGATGCGATTTAAATTTTTCCTTTCTCTTTGGAGTGTTACAAGCTCTTGGTGCATAAAGAAGATCTGTAAAGTTGCAAAGACTAGAGTCTCAAATCCAAAGAGATATTCTTTATAAAAGTTAAGAGTCAACCACGCCTACCTAAAACGGCTCGTTCTAACACGCCCCCACATATCTAGGTCACTATGTGGGAAGATTTGCATAACGCCGCCCAAATGTTCACGCAAAGAAAGAAGGCGTAACTTTGATTCTCGCTGTAGTATTGTTGTTGCCGCCGCCGCCATGTCGTGAAGACACTGTGTGTTTCGTTGTGAAAGCGAAACTACTTTGTTTGGTCTTCCAAAAGAGGACACAACTAGAAATCAGTGGTTAAGTTGTATTTACAACACTGTTCCAGAACACTTCAACCCAAATATTCAGATGTGTGCAGTGCATTTTGCGGAGGAGGAGGACTGTTTACTGGGAGAGTAGCCTACAATGCCGGTGTCTGTTTCAATAAAGTGGGGCAATTCCAACTTTGCAAGGACAGTCTGGCGCTCAGCCCTGCACATTTTGTATGTCTTCCTCACCTGTCACACCTGATTCAACTCATCAGCTCATTAGTGGAGACTGCAGGACCTGAAGTGGGTGTGTCAGATATAGGGAGACATACAAAATGTGCAGTGCTGGGGGTACTCACACGCTTGAGGAATTCGGCCAATCACAACACACTGGATAGTTGTCGACGCGTTTCAGAAAGGCGGGGCATAGAGGAGAAACAATAATGTACAGTATGTGGAAAATAATGTTTTTCGAACCTTAAACCGCATAAACACATTTCATTACACCAAATACACAAAATAATGTTCTTTTTAGCAGCGTCATATGACCCCTTTAATAAGGATAAAATGTGTGAGTTCAGCTTTGAGAATGAAAACCAACCTGTTTGTTCCTCAGTATCTTCATGTTTGACTCTGAATGTTTCTTCAATCTTCACTTCTTCACTCTCCTCTTTAATAAACGCCATCTTTATAATCATAATCTGGGTGCGTCTCAATCAGCTCCCTAGTTCAGTAGTCAGCGCACTGGTAAGATAAAGTTAGTGAGAGTTAATGGCCTTTAATGACCTGATTAGCCAATAAAAAAAGCTCAAAACTAGCACTAAAAAATTAAGAACACAAATTACATTGAAAAGTTAATATTGAAAACATTTGCATTTGGTTTGTAAAAGCTGCATGTTTGTGTTTGTTGTGCTCGTTGTTTAGTTTTGAGCAGCAGATGATTCAATTCAGTGAATCATTTGATTCAATTGACTCGGAGTTTCAAAAAGCTCCGTTTCTCTCATCACTACTTGCTAGTGACCGAATTTGTGTTTATCATAAACTGATTCACGAGCGAAATGTTAGATGAAACATTACAACGTTACAATTAATGATAATTGATTAATTTTACATCGTTTGTAAAAACTATAAAGTTGCCCGAACGGTTTTTTTTACCGATTAAAACCCTTCAAATGCTTAAAAACACCAACCTTTCTTCAGACGCAGGAGCGCGGTGCCGCCTTATGACGTCACATCGCCAGACCAAAATAAAAGTCCTGGATACGATTTTCTTGTAAGATTTGTAATGTAGTAAATTATCAGCAAGTCCAGCATGTCACTCCAGCTCCTCTCTAGTGTTCTGCAGTGACTAAATAGTGTTGCTTCAGACAGAATAATTATAATAATAATACAGAATAATACATAAATCTCAACATCTGTCCTTTACATTGAGTATGTTAGAGCGCTTTAGCATCTACAAGCAGTCTAATGTCAACACGACAAAGAAATCAGAGAAAGGGTTTCATTTTTAAATGACTGAGTTTATTAGCAATATACAACAAAGACATACAAACCCTTGCAAAAATAAACCATGCTCAACTGTTTTTATTTATTTGTTTGTTTGTTTGCTTGTAGAAAAATTCAGTGACAGACAACCCCTGCTTTGACTGTCTCTGGGCTCCAATAATCCTCATGAAAACTATTTTGAATGTTTAAGATTTTATTATAATTATTACACTAATAATTATTATGTGTTGTATAATTCTTATAACTATTAATTCCTGCCCTCATAAAAATGGACCACTATTCTTAAAAATTATTGTCCTGACCTCCACCGGGAAGGAAATATAGAAACTGGACCTCTTTGAACTTTAATTGAATACCACTGCTGTAGATCCACAGAATTCCAGCAACTTCTCTGAGATACTGGATCAACTTACCTTCCAACAATACAATATAATATATAAAATCTAATTTTAACATTGTTTTTTGTCTGTCTTCTATGTTGTTTTACTCTGATTTCTATTTAATATTTTCTCTACTTTGTTCAGCACTTTGGTCAGCTTTGCTGTGTTTAAATGTGCTATATAAATAAAATTTACTTATTAAATTTCAAGTGTCACAGGAAATACTTGAAATGTTTGTGTGTGTGTGTATTTATATATATATATATATATATAATGTGGGAACAGAGCTATTTATAAATGTAATTGAACATAAGGCTTCAACATCCCAATAAGATTGATTCATCCATACATACATTGTCCATACCCTAGTCCAGTGTGAGTACTGCATAATTTAAAATCATTTTTAATTCAATATTAAATTGCTTAATTAAGGCTTATACATGCTAGTTTCCATGACAGAGTTCAAGATAAAATATTTATATTACTAAGTTTCAAATGATTATTAAACCGCAAGCACAAACTATGCAAAAGCAGCAGCTCTTCCGCACGCTCAGAATTTGATCACTCAGATGTCTTACGATTGGCTTGTTTTTATTAAATTTCTAACTGCATCTGACAGTGGCGGATCCTTCTTCTCTTTTATATACCGTATTGGCCCGAATATAAGACGACCCTGATTATAAGACGACCCCCCCCACATGCATTACATTACGTATTTCATGGCACACTCGTTTTATGCGTATTTGGCGCCACCTATTGTTGTGGGTGTATTATTGACATGTCAAAGTCTAGACCCTGAATATAAGCCAACTGCATTTTTTCAGATGTATTTCCAAGAAAAAAACATCGTCTTATATTCTGGTCAATACGGTACTTAATTTTAGGTGGTTATGTTGAGAGCGCATTAATGTAATACGATAGTGCATCCATGTAATGCTCGAGCACTAATCTCTCCACTCACAAGCAGATTTCCTTTGCTCACACAAAACTGGACGAGCGCTTTTAAATATGCAGTGTTCTCTTATGAATTGCCTCTGCTCTCACTCAGATATTGCGTGTGCACGCTCAAACTTTGTTCTTGCATCACTGAAGACCAGAAGAGCTTTTTTAATTCAGGTGATGAGAGGGCTTATCCCACTAAATGGAAACAAGCTAATTATAGTCAGCCTTCTGTAATTATTTATTTTATTATTTAATACTTATTTGAGTTAAGAGCGTATTGTAAATATGCATTTATTACATTATTTTGTTTAGTGCATTTGTATTTTGTTGTTTCTGTATATAGTTTTACAATAAAAGTGTTATCAACCAGGCCTGGTTCCCGAAAAAAAAATCACTGATACCCCTTTTCCACTAGCATGAACCTGATGCTAGTTCAGAGCCAGTGCTATTGCCGGTTCGGAGTTGGTTCAATTGGGCTAGAGAGCCACCGCAGAGCCAGGTCTTACATCACTGAATACATCTAATCTTTCCCAGTAACGCTAGCGCGGAATCGCCAAACACAACAGACTGGTGCTTTGGGTGTCGAAAGACAAAGAACCGATTTTGATCAGCAGGCGTCACCAGCGTGTGGTGTTTCGAGCGATTCGAAACAGTGAATCATTACTAACTTTACTACTTACTTGTTCGAGATGCATCGGCGGCATGCTGACCGATCGGTGCACGACACCAAAGCACCACGAAAGTGATCCAAAAGCATAAAGAGAGTCGTCTGCTTTCCAATTACTCCCGCGGCACACCGAACGGTCCACGCAGCGCCGATGCATCCCGAACAAGCCTAAACACACCATCAACAATGGTGGACGTTGCATTGCTATTGATGTTCATAGCTTTGTTAACCTATATCAGCCTCAAAACACAGCGAATTCAACGTGGTCGTGTTCAGCTGCTATTTCAAAAATGGCGGTCAAATGTTTCTGTTCATCTTGTTGGTCACGGTAACCCCGCCCCCAGCCCCTGACGCAAAACGGTTCTTACTTCTAGACCAGCAATGTTTTGGTGCTACTTACGAACCACTTTTCCTGGTTCGGAGCTGGTGCTTTGGGTGTCGAAAGACAAAGAACCGATTTGAAACAGGCTCTGGCTCCGAACCAGCACTCAAACTGCCTTGGTGGAAAAGGGGTATGAGGGTGCTTCTGAAATTAGTGAGGGTGCTCTAGTCTTAAAGGGGTCATATGATGCTGCTAAAAAGAACATTATTTTGTGTATTTGGTGTAATGAAATGTGTTTATGCGGTTTAAAGTAAAAAAAAACACATTATTTTCCACATACTGTACATTATTGTTTCTCCTCTATGCCCCGCCTTTCTGAAACGCGTCGATTTTTACAAAACTAATCGGTCTGAAAAGCGAGGTGTGCTCTGATTAGCCAGCTATCCAGTGCGTTGTGATTGACCGAATACCTCAAGGAAATGACAAACAACAAGTGCTATTCTACACTGCTCAAAACTCGCGTTTGAATCGTCAGTGGCAAATCCTTTAAATGAAAACGTACTTACAGTCTGTGAGTCAGAACAGCCGGCATTGTAGTCTACTCTTCCAGGATCAGTAAACAGTCCTCCATAAAATGTGCTGCACACATCTGGATATTTCGGTTAAACTGTTCTGGAACAGTGTTGTAAATACAACGGATTTGTAGTCGTGTCCTCTTTTGGAAGACCAAACAAAGTAGTTTCGCTTTCACAACGAAACACACGGCAGCTAGAGTGAGCAGAGGCCGGCTTGAGTGAGCAGCGGCGGCTGGACTCCGCTTCGTTCACGGTGAAAGAACGAAACACACGGCGGCCTAGCGTGAGCTGAGGCTGGGGTAGAGTGAGCAGAGGCGGCGGGCTTGAGAACGGCGCGGCCGGTGGATTCGACGAAGGAGCGTCCGGTGGGCTTGCGGCAACCACATGTGACGACCCCGGACTGGACTCCGCTTCATCCACGGTGAAAGCCGATCCGGCAATCCACAGCACTAAGTTGATGTATTCCCTCAGCGACCAGCAGGGATCAGCTCTAGGCATGACGAAGCGGATATCGTCCTCTTTTGGAAGACCAAACAAAGTAGTTTCGCTTTCACAATGAAACACACAGCAAAAAAAAAGTGTTTGCATTTGAGTAAAGCCTTTAAGTCCCTCTAAGTGTTTTTCTTCATTGAGTATCTACAATTTCTCATGTGGTAACATCTAATTTATTTGATTTTATTCAACCCCAAAATATTAACCAGGGCTACATTTCTCAAAAGCATCGTAAGCTAAGTTGATCTTGAGACCATTGGTGGCAATGGGTTTATGATCTACTTAGGCTCATGATGCTTTTGGGAAACATAGCCTTAATTAACCTATACATTAGGCTACGGTGATAAAATGAAATATAAGGGTTATATCAGGTAGAAATAGCTCCCTAAGATAACACTTGCAGATTAGCACTTTGTAATAGTGTGCCATAGATTGTACAATGTTTTTTTTCCCTCATCATGCTCATTTTGCGGCCACCCTCTTTTGAGGCAGTGCCCCATTTAAAATGCTCTAGACATGCCTCTGCATCGACTCCTTCAAGTGGACTATATTCATGAACCAATGAAGGGAATAGAGAATAGGAGGTGATTTTGAACCGTGTTTACAAGACACTGGTTTTATAAAGCACTTTTGTGGATAAGAAGAAAAAAAATCATTTGCAGATAAATGTAATTTTGATCAGTCACATTTACTTCACTTAAAATAATTTTTTGTTATATAATGCATAAGTGAGAAAAATTAATGATTTTCATAG